GAACAACGGAAAGCAACAACAACCTGCTACTGTGGTCGGACAAGAGAGTTCCACACAGCTTAAAGGTGATTGACTCTGAAGGAAGGGGTCCAATACCATTACAGTCACCTCTACGCACGCATAAATATGAAGAGATCTGTCTCACTCGTGTTGAGCTGGGTGCGTCGTATGCAGTGCATACTTCTACGTCAGTGATTGTCGATGTATCTGCATGTTCCAGGCAAAAAATAAAAACGACCATGCGAAAAACACAGTACAATAGTCCCCTCTCCCCGGGCGGGATTTTTAACCAATCTCCAACCGCACCGGCTGGAAAAATGCTTGGGGTTCTTGGAACCTGTGCACGCTCCTACTTGTGACCGGGTTGCACGACTCTATCGAGGACGAATATCAGCTCAGCCTAAATCTCGATGGTTGTGGCCAACCTGTCTATTTCTGTCATGTCATGCCTTCGGGAGTAGACCCGGGTTTATGTGAGAATGGTTTGGGCTACCCCGCTGCATTACTCTGCGTGGATTCAGAGTTGATCTGCTTCAAATATAGGCATGCATGGGCGACTTTGGCATGCCGACCACGCCCGCCCGTCGAACGCGGTTTCTAATCGTGGCAACCATTTGGAAGCCCCATTGCCGTAAGAGAGGCGGCGAGATGGCACCCTCGCACGAGCGATTTTCAATGCCCAATTGCTCCATAACCAAGTTTATTGTACAAACACCAAAAGTTGTGGTTTTGGAAACATCTCGTAGATGACTTTCCGTAGACGTGTCGGACTCTTTCCGCACCCACTTGGTTGTGGAGCAATCGAGTTTTGAAAGTCGATCTAGGGGGGGGCGTCATGGTGTCATATCTCCACCCCTTTCGATAGCTTTCTTATATCTGCCGCATGGCTCCTAGCGATCTGGGTAACTTTACGAGGGCAGCAGAACACTGCTGCAACACTTGTCTCAACTTGCTCTGGAGCAACACCTACCTTGCCTGCACATGCACTCTCAGCATTTGCTTCTACCGTGCGCGCCACAGCGTAAGAACTTGACACTATTTATAAATAAATACATTCAGCGTAAAATATGCTTCTATCCGAGTACGTTATCTTGCCCTAACAACAGGTGCGTGCCCAGTTCGAGGTTCAGAACAAGAAGTGGGTGTACCACTGCGTCTACAGATAGGAACGGAGACCCGAAGCCGCAACGCATGCAAGATTGAACGTGGCGTTTGGGAGGAGGGAGGGAAGCGTGATCCCTACGAAAGCTACAGTTAGATCGGGGGGGGCGGGGGGCTTCCGCGTAGCCCCATTCATGTAACGAAGGTTAAGCCGAAGACTAAGGTTGCTGGGGCCGGTTGACGCTAGGGAGCAACTGGATAAATGTTTTGGGCATTCTGACAAACCTTAGTCAGTGGGGCAGCGACGCGTTGACAGCGTCTGACCGCCGTGTGATAATCACTCAATGGGTGGGGGGGGGTAACCATAGAAATTGTCGACAGTCACTAGCGTTGTTGTACCAGTTTCGCCTTTCTTTTCGACGTACTTGTGTACGGCGGTGATCTTTCTCGGCGGGGGTTGCGGTCCTTCTCCATCACATGCGTCCCACGACCGCAACGACAGCTTGGTCTGCTGAAAGGCGAAGACGACAGCATGGAGGCGGACGGACGGTGAGATGGACAGCGTTAGAGGGTCTGGTACAGTTGTCGCGAGCGTCTAGACTACACCCGCTGCTCTAGACAGACATTGCGTTCCTCCCTGTGGTTAACTACCGTTAGGCGGGGCAGGGGGTGCTTTGGTGAGTTCATTACTCGGCAGTCTCAGAAGTGCACCCGCCACCGTAACGGCGGCCTGAAGCTGCTGTTTGAATAGTACAGCAGCTGAGACCCGGATGCTGTGGTAGACTCGTGGGTTTTGCATAGGGGAGTACGGCAGAGCAGGTGGCGGGTGCACGTCGGACAGTAGGACAGCACTAGTTGCAACGAACGGGGAGGACACTAACGCCTAATGTCACCCTTGTGCCCTTGTGGATCAAGAAGGTTGAGGGTTATCCGTGTGTCTGTGTGTATTGCCTTTCTTTGCACCATGCATTGGTGCGTTAAACTTGTACCTACTACATTGACCGCGAAGCCGCTTTTTATCCAGGAAGCCTGTCGCCTTCTCTACGGCCTCATGATGTTTGAGAGGTCTCTATTGAGAACGCATGCGGTGAATAAAAACTCGAGTGATATTTATTGGGAAACCATTGTGTTCCTGGTGGCAATCGACATGCATGTGTGTTCTACAAACGCGTTCAACATGAGAGGTCTTACCAAGGGCTGTAGGCCCCCAAAGAAAATATAACGCTGCCCGCCCTGCATGGGCAGTCGTGTACATATTCGAAGGAGGAACCCCGGGCACGTTCAGCGGGAAAATCCTGGCCCTAAATGGAATCGGCAAACAAGAACACCACGTGCTCGGATAAAGGGGGCCAATTAGGCGCGAGCCTAGCACAAAATAACAAAAGAACTGGCAGTGCGAAAGATGGGACTCTAGGGGGGTTTACTCATAGTCATAGTCATAGTCGTGCATGCGGTAGTCGTTAGACCATTGACCTCGCACCCCTGCAAAAACCGGGACGGAGCGAAGCACAGTGAGGTATTCGGCGAGTTGTATGGAGGGTGCGCTGAATCCTGCGAAGGGTGTTCGGTATCTTGTGCTTCCTTCCTTGCATGCAAACAAATTACGGCTGCGAAATGATTATATTGTTTTCTGTGATTTCACCTCCGTAGTCAGTTATAAGCACTGTGTAACTGCCTCGAGGGTGCTTGACCAATTTAGCGCCACACGGTGCGATCATCCCCTTTGCGCGGAGTGAGGGTTCTCGACCCCGCACAACATGATCTACTCGACCACCATCATCATGGTTACCGAGAAATAATCAACGGCGAAAAAGCGGCAACTAACCTGGTTGTCGAGACCACGTAGCGATCAGCGTGTTACACAGGGTCGTAGCCAAGCGACGAAAATCCACCGGGGACTCTATGGGAGGGGGGGGGTACTCGTGTAAGTGCATGCCGTCGTCGTTAGACAATTGACCTCGCACCCCTACATGCATGCCAGGACGGGGCGCCATGGACTCCGGGCGGGGGGAGTTTTAAAGAATACCTGTCTGCAAGGAAGGCCCACAAAACCACCAACGAAAGTGCATGCATGATTCACTGCCCCTTTGCCTAAGCCAAAACGAACAGCAGCATCGGCCAACAACGCACTCCACAGTCAGGTTCCAGCATGCTTCAATGAGCAAGTCGTGTATCTTGATGATAATTGCTCTTCTTTTGAATTTTTGCGCACTCCCCCCTTTTAGAAATAGAGCTTACAACTGTCTCTGGAAGCGGAAGCACCAGAAACTAAATTCAGTCATGCGCAGCTGTGTCATCCGTTGCAAGGAAGTAAGCACAGGATGTCGCACACCCTTAACAGGATGCAGCGCACCCTCCATGCGACTCGCCGAATACCTCACGGCGCTTCGCGCTTGGTGATGTGAGAGCCTGGTCCGGTGAGAACCCGGCGTGCTCCGTCTCGGCTTTGTGGGGATGCGAGGTCAATGGGGCTACGGCATGCACGACTATGAGTACACACACACATACCCTTGTCGAAATGGTGGAATGGCGGGGAGTAATTCAGATCTCCATTTGACCTTTTCCCATTTGACTTTTCACAAGAGCGCTGTTGCGGTGTTTCTGGAACGGGCATGGTTCTGGCGCGCAAACAACCCTCTCACGCGGGATTGATTGATGCAGCCGCCGTGCACCCCTGCGGGAACGGCAACCAGGTCATGTTGTGGCTAGATGTGTAACGCCGTACATCATCTATCAGTTGTTGTTGCGGTTGTGCCTTCCTCACGTTCGTTCTGGGAAAGAAACAAGGCACTCCGTGAATGCTTGCGTGAGGTTGGGGAGTGGTTCAGACGTTGTGTCAGCATGGCACGAGGAGGTTGTGGTTACTTGCGCAACAACGTTCTCATTTACGTTGTCTGACGTTGCAAGCCAATAAGTAAGTTGTTTCGAAGGAAAGCGTGTGGCGGGAAAGGCCCTTGCAGAGGGAGAAGGTTGGGTTCAAGTCGGGTCCAAATGGATATTGCTCACTATCTGAGAAACGTTGATGTTCCTTTGGCGAGTTTCCGAACAATATATCTGGAGTTTTCTCAATCGGAAAACCACCAGTAAGTAAGCTTCTACTGTAGGAGTTAACAGTTAGTTGTGGATACAAGCTCTGCTGCGGTCGTGAAATCAATGGGGAAACGCACACACAACGTTGAAACGATATTTAGTAGATAGATGTGAAAACCGCACGGAGAACCGCGCCAAACACCCCCACTTATTCCTTGCACACCACCACCTCCCCTCTTGCACACTCGCTGATGATGCATGAAAATGTCTGCTCTCATCATCCTTGCTGGACTGACTCGCTCGCGCATTGCCAGATAGCATAGTATAGTGTGAACGGTTTCATGTCGCAGAGAAAGCCATCACCTCTCGGTCCGGTGGACTATGCCTTGTAGTATAACAACCGTCTCGTCGCCCTGGCCGGCACTCGCGCGAGGAATGCTGTCCCTTCCCAAAACGTCGTCGTGTGTATAGTGTGTACTGGTGTTGCTGGTATTGTTTGTTCACTGCTGTAGAAGTACACAGAGAAGGCAGGGACTATGTACAAAAAAATAAGGCCGTTTTACCACAGTCGTGACACACCATGCCCAGCTGTGTAGCTCAGGATCATATACCAATCCGCATCTCACGGATCCGAATCAACAGGTAGGGAGGCTGGATGTCGACAGACAGACAGACAGACAGACAGACAAAGACAGGGATCGACAGAAACAGGAAGAGCACATGAGAGATTTGAAAGGGCGGGGGTGGGCGTGTTCGTCAATGTAAAACGCCTCCGTACATTTTAGAACACCCTTTGAGCGCATCGTGTGTTGCGTTGTTCCATTTGGTTGAGTGCTGTATCCTTGCCTTGCGAAGACAGACGAGTTGACATGGACGGACCCGCTACCGATTTACCATCCCTGACAAAGTGGCAGCCAGGCCCTTTGGTTGTAGTGTGGTTTGCTCTGCTGCTGCGATGCATGGTCTCGCTGTGGCCGTACTCTGGGCAAGGAGAGCGGCCCATGTACGGTGACTACGAAGCACAGAGACACTGGATGGAGATCACCAACGCCCTGCCGCTTCATCAATGGTACAGGTAGGCAAACGTGATTGCACCGGTGAAGGTTTGCCTGATGAGGGGCTCATGGTATACTCCTTCACTCTCCGGGATGCCCCCATCCAAAGCCGGCTGCAGCGCGCTGCAGCGTGTGTATTTCCTCCGCGTTTTCGCGTTTTCGAAAATTCGGCCACAGCCCGCCATGTTGTGCACCTGCTCACTGCAGCTTGCTGCGCCGTCTACGTACCCACGATCCCTAAGTCCGCCCAGGGAGGCTTATGATACAGCGGCGCTCTCGCGGATTAACAGCAGTCCAACGCCCTCTCAAGAGTTGAATCCCGCTTACTGTCCGAGATGGAGGTACACAGCACAACCAGATGAGGTGCAAAGCAACGGGTGCTAGCGGTACGCGTCCACCATAGTCTTACCACACCCCCTGGACCGATTTTCACAGATCGGTTGCTCCACGACGAAGAGGATGCCGATATCAAATGAGTCGTCTTCGGAAAGCTTTCCACAAGACGGTTCCATCGCCGCCATTTTCTGCACCGTTATTACTGGTTTACTTTCGGGTAACCGGGCTTCGAAAATCGGTCCAGGGGGGCGGGGTGATATCTTGTGTCATGTCACCTACTGTGTACGACAAGCGTAGGAAGACGACGCTGGCTGAGTTTTGGAGGCGATTTAGGCTGATGGGGTGTATCGGCTTGCTCGCCCAATTCACCTCTCACCCCTTCCACGCCGTTTTCTTGTTTTCTCCTGTTTTCTCCGATGCGTCACGCTGCTGTGTGTGGTGTGTACATCTCCAGATTCGATCTGGAGTATTGGGGGCTGGACTATCCTCCTCTGACAGCCTATGTCTCGTGGGCCTGTGGTCAGCTGTCGAGGGTTGTGGAGCCCGCATCTATGGCCCTCGGTCTATCTCGTGGCTACGAGACTCAGAGCCACAAGGTAGGGACCAAGAAGGTCACTAATCTACTGTACATGCGGTATACTGCTGCCGTACTGCAGTAGGCTGACATCCGGGGTTCGAGTGTCCCCTCTTGAGCATGTTATCCTCGAGGATTTTATTTGCCCCTGAAATAAGCGGAACAAAAAGCCTGAAGAACAACAGTAGGCTTTCCGAAATGAGGCGATGACCTGCTTTTACCGATCTGGCGAGCACCGCGTTGATCACAGGGATGGCAACCCTGGGGGGACGTGTTCGTGGCTTGAAAGAAAGCTTGGCGGACTCGGGCACTAGATTTTGTTGAGAGGCACGATGACCACTAGACCACCAGTTTACGCTGATTGGTGGTCTCATCGTGATTCTCAGCAACGGACATGCTGGTCTTGACTGGTACTGCTGACTGCGGTGTGTACGACAGGGCAGATTTCTGTAGTACCATTTGTTATGAAGCACGATGACCACTAGGCACTAGACCACTAGTCAGCGCTACCTAGTGGTCTCCTGGTCAGCGCTTCTTAATACCACCAATCACTGGACATTCCTACTTCTGTGTTGTGACGTACGACAACCTTGTCGACGGGTGGCGACGAAATACTCGAGCCTCGACCCCAATCTGACGATGCTTTGTTGCGGGGCCGTTCTGTGTGTTTTTTGGAGGCTGGCCAGCAGTTCGTACCGCTAAGAAGTTTTGTTCCAAAGGCGGCGATTGGTGCCTAGCATCGCCTGGTTTGTTACACACGAGCACACAAGACAAGCAGGTGCACCGCGGATGAGACTTTCCCTGTACAACTCTTACAGCAGTAGCACCTACCACGCTCCGCGGAATTCACAGGGTAGGAGCCACCGATGATACCTCACGTGATTCCGCCCACCCACGTCTTTGGTGTGGTCATTCTGTAACGTATTGTTTGCTGAATGCGCGGTATTTTTTCTTTTCTCAGGCCGGAAGCACCACCGCCATGTGGCACCCATCATTTTGGCTTGCCTGTTTGCGATATGCTTGCTTTGTGGACTTGTGTGTCCGCTGCTGGGCGCACTGCTGGGCGTGCTGAACTGCTGTTTTGTCGCGTGCAACCTATTAGTAATCCTAACCCTACCCCTTGAACGGCAGGCCTTCATGCGGATGACGGTCTTGTTGTTGGATCTCGCCATCTTCTTCCCCGCCGCAGCAGCACTCACGAGCAGGTGCCTGTCACGTTCGTTTTCCTTATGTACTGCCACAGCAGTTGTACAGTCAGCCGTGACGAAGCCTGTACATCAATAGAGGTTGTCGGGTGTACAAGCCTTAGCCTTCTCTGTAGGAGGGGAGGACGGGAGAGGCAGGCAGCCTTGCTGAAATGCATTGCTATTGTAGCATGGTGGTGTTGCGTCTCCGTTACTCTTGGTGCCCTGTTGTTGCCGAGCGAGACACCTTGTGTGGCGTGGAAATTGCTGCACGTCGCATGACGCCCAAACACCGGGTACGCGCTGCTGCGCTCTATCGTTCATGCTTGCCATGCTGGTGCACGAACGATGCACGTCCAAGAATGAAATGACGAATTACGCACTGGAGTTGTCATCAAGAAGGTCCCAAACCCGTGAAGATGAAGTACGGCGGTGGCTCAGACAAGGGACTGGCTCAACACATGAGCACGGCCAAAGACTAAACTGCGCTTGCTCTCTCTCTCTGCATCACAGCCGGAACACTGTTGGATGGGATTTTTCTTACTCTTGACGCGAACAACGATGCGTCCCCGTCAACATCGCCTGGGCCACCGCCTACATTGCCTCTGCTGATCCGTCCACTGTAGACTGTAGACACTCCACACCTTAATCGCTGTGCAGAGGTGTGACTGATGTACCTACTTCGTCTGCAGCGTTGATTTGATTGCTTGCGCACGCCATGCTTCCCCAGGTTAGCTATTGACAGGACGGTGCGGAGGGGAAGAGGGGTGCCCCTCCTAGAGCATTGGGATCATCCTGCGGCGACGAGGGCTCTGTGCATGGTGCTCCTTTCGCCGTCCCTGGTGCTCGTCGATCACGGACACTTCCAGTACAACTGCGTGTGCCTCGGGCTGGCCGTGGCGGCCGCTGCTGCGGTGGCTAGCGGAAAACGTGGCGGAGGTGACTGGTTGGTATTACCATGGGATTAACATGATATGCATTGGTACTATCGTATATAGGTGGACGAGACAAGACACAGGATTGATTGTCGGGATGCTTTCTTGTTCGTCGTAGAATAGCATCTCAGAGTTTTGCTGTACAACTATGGTATGCTACGACCACGTCTACGACATCTACGAAATCGGGGTCCACAGGTTTTCTCTGCATATGACTTCCGGCTGTTGATTCTCGGAGAGACATGGAAGCTCGTTGAGACGCGATGCGTTCCGCGCGTGTGGGTATGTAGTAGATGGTCTAGATAGACAGGGCTCCTTTCTTTTCGTTGCCGCTGAAACCCTCTCACCCTCTTGCTGCTGCCATGATTTTTCGTGGCCTTGCCGTTTTGTGTGGCAGAACTTGTCGGCAGCGCTCTCTTCTCCTTGTCTCTCAACTTCAAGCAGATGGCTCTGTACTATGCTCCAGCTTTCTTCTTCTACCTGCTGGCCTCTTGTGTGTGGAGTAACCCGGCGGGCACGAAGGCGATTGGTGAGTCAGTCGATCCTTCGGCACGTCGATGTGTACATGTTTCAATTTTTGGCTATTTAGTACAGCGTGGGTGTTTTGTGTGCATGGAGGTAAAAGGCTCACCTTAAAAACACGAGTGTCTAAGGTCGCGACATGGGCTTTGTATTTTGAGAAGGCATCCAGGGTTGAGAGTAAACGCCACTACAATGCCAAGATTGCCAAGATTGTTTTCTATGTACATGTACTGGTATACCATACAGCAATCACAGGCAGTTAGTTGCCTACGGCAGCAGTTAGTTTTATGCAAGGCCGACCGGCACTCATCTCCTTCCTACCCCCCAGCCAAGCACCGCACACACGCCACGACCGCTTCTACCATGCCGTCTTGAAAATCGAAACATCAGATGTGTTGGACCAACCAAACGGCGTTGCCCCCTACAGGAAGCCATGCGGATGGCACAGCGACGTCGTTGAACCGTTTGTCGGGGGTGTTGCGGCGGGTGCTCGGCCTCGGGTCTGTGGTGATTATCACTTTCATGGTCTTGTGGGCACCGTTCTGCCTTTTGCGGGACGATGATTCTGAGGATGGTTCCGACGCGCAAAGCGGATGCCTGTCTGCGATGGGCCAGGTGAGCTAGCTGGGCCCGCTGCTCCGCTTGTTTGCTGCCTTGTTGCGTCGTTGCCCTTTGGAACCAGCAGGGTCTGCCGCAGGGGCTGACAAAGTTGGGGATTTGTCCCGTGTATGTGTTTAATTGAGCAAGTCTATTCATCCACGGAACCCCTGTCACACGCGTAGAATGCCACCATGACAACGGCCCCCTTAAGGATTGGATAATGCCAAGGGGTTTCCGGGCTACACCTCTTTTTGGTAGGGACGTGAAGACGTGAAGGTGGATGCTTGGGTGGTGTCGGGAAGAATCAGGATCGCCGGACGACGGTTGGCATTGGGTGGTGGCTAGACCCACAGCTGCAGCTATTTGATATCAGTACAGTAGCGAGAATGGCCCCTGTCGACCGCTTTTCTGTGTCCTTGCTTTGCAAATGGTGTGAGAGGCCACATGACGGATGCCTTGGCATGAAGATGAAGCTGCAGTCGTGATCAATCCCGGGCCATTGTCGGCCCCCTCCCGTCTCTGTGAAGGTTCCGATAAGAGCATACTGTATGGTAAGGGGAACGGGGGGGGATATGCTGCTGTGCCTGATGCATGGATGTTTCGTTGACGCTACTCCAATCTGCGCCTTTGCCCTCTCGCGATTGACGGATGTCCCGTGGGTTTTCTCCTGCCGAACGGACGGGATGCCCCAGCACATACCTTGCACGGGCGAGAACGGGTCTGTGTTTTTTTCAAAGACAGCACCAACGTTTTCAAAACTTATGATACTACTGGAACGGCAACAAACACAGGTGTCAGTGAGGTTGTTCCCCTTCTCTCGGGGACTGTTCGAGGACAAGGTCGCCAACCTCTGGTTCTGCCTCGACGTCGTATTCAAGCTGAGGAGGAGGCTGCCGGTGCCGCAACTCGCGAAGCTGGCTCTCGCGTCGACGCTGAGGTGGGTTGGTTGGTTGCGATGTGCCGCGTATGAAGATGCAGGGATGAGGTTATGAATATTGAATGGGACAGCGTAGCCGATGAGCCACCACATGTTGCGGTGCCGGGGAAAGAATGCTATGTATGGTGACAGGGACATATTCTGGCTATTATTTGGGTGGTTCGAGGGTGAAGCGAAGAGAGGAGGGCGCAGGCGAGATACCTCGTGGTTGCGATCTCCCTAGCCTAAGGCGGCATCATCCATCATCCATGATGCACACTTTGGCACACAATAATGTACAGGAAGGTGTTCTCCACCGACGTACCCGCTAGAGTACCGCAGTGCAGAACGGTACAGCATGTACCAGCAGTGCAGCAGGTACAGCAGAGCAGTCCACGAGGCGATTCCTTACAGCAGATGTTGGCTGGCATGTTGGAATATTGTCATACTGATACGATCACCAACACCAACATCAACGTCAACATTTTTTTCCTTCAAAGACTGCAGCACAGCACCCAGTCGGACGTTTTACCCCTAGCCGGCGGTACCCTCAATCATGATACTAGAATAGATTGTTTGTTCGCCCGGTGTCATGGTCGGAGTAGTTTACGCGGCCAGGCAAGGCTGTTGGTCGGAAAAGCTCCTTGCTTGTTTTTTTTAGCGTAATGTGTCGCCCTTGTGTGTTCATGAAAATATCTGAATTTTGTGTGCATAACGTCGAACGCCTGCCAGTACACCTCAGGCTCGACGAGAGTAAATGAGCAAGAACCGTTCGTAGCACCGTTCGTAGATGCAGCTTCCGTCGCTACGGCGTGAACCATCGAATCATCATGACATGTCATGGCATGGGTGGGTATCGATTTGAGCTAGGAGTGAGTGTTTCGTCTCCCAGTCTTCGAGGCGTGACTGCTTCTGCTACTGCTGCTACTTCTGCTGCTGCTACTGCCGCTAGAGTATCGGCATTGTCCGTCTACCTTTCGCACCCCGCGGCAGTGGCATCAGTGGCACACCTTGTTCGCCCCCCTTTGGGAAGGACAACGTCCTAGGTATGCATACGGTACCAGCAACGATGTACGGCGAAATGTGAATTGTGCGTCACCCCCACTAATACCGTACGTCTCTTTCGTCGTGCTGATTTGTGCGTCACCCCGACTCTCGTTCGTGTGTCGGTACAGCCTCTTGGTGCCGGTGGGAGCGGAGCTGTTGAGGCCGGGCCGATCGCCGACGGCAAGGAGGCTGGTGCTGGCCCTCTTCAACAGCTCCATGGCCTTCTTCTTGTGTTCTTTTCAGGTGAGGTGAGGAGGCGAACAAGCGAGCGAGGTTCCAGCCACTGCTGTGCCGTGCTATCCCTAGACCTCTGTAGTCAATATTGGCCTAGCTGGCTGGCCAATACCTGATACCCTTTCTTTTCCGGCTTGGTGTGGTGCAAGAATCTATGGTTTGTTGAGCGCGGCAAGCGAAGGCCTTGCATGGAGAGTAGCAACTGGGTTTGAAGCTTGACGTAAGGAAAAGGCAGCCGATACATTGTCGACAATCTGGACAATCTCGACAACGGGGGAGCGTTGTTCGGCGCCTGCATCGTAGCTTCCCGAACAGCGAACCTGTCCGTGCCCAAAGAAACATGCTGACCGCTAGTGAAAACCGGGGAGTCAAGGGCGGAATTGTTTGGTGTTCCCTCATTCCCTCGACATAATGATATTTTGTAATCTGGTGGCCACGGAAAGAGAAGGAGATGCCTTTCGAAACGGAACAATAGAGGTGTCGCCTACATTCGCGCGCTCTCTGCTCTAGTCTTCGTAGGAAGAAGGGGGTACCGGGGCGGGGGGAGGGGGTGGGCTTCGACCTCTACGGCACGGGTAGTACCGCTTTATGTTACGGGTACCGCTTGATGTTGTTGTTTGTTGTTTGAGGCATCAAGACGGTTAGGATCAAGTGTACGAGGAGGAGGAGGAGGACTTGGCGTGTCATGTCATGCTACATGTTCTCATGGGTGACGGCCGATACTCATTGGTACAACCGTGGCCTCCTTTGGCCAATATGCCGAGTAGTTATCTTCCTGTTATCTTCAGTGTTTTTTGTCCCGCCTTTTCTCGTGGTGGGTCCGTGCGATGAGTCCACCTATCCCTCCTTCGCGTGTGTGTGTGTGATGTGTGTGAGAGACCTCGGGCGACGAGCACTGACAAGCCCTGCGCTGTGCTCTACTACTGATGTGCCCGTCTGCGCTACTACATAGGTGCACGAAAAAAGCCTGCTGCTGCCACTCTGCCCACTGGCGTTTCTCTGGAGAGACGCGCCCCTGTTCACGACGTGGCTACAGGTACATCCAAAGCGGTGTCTGGATGTCTGCAGTAATCTTTAAAACATAGTCACCGTTCGTTTAGTGTGTGGGTGGACCAACATGCTGCTGTGACGATTTTGCCGCCCCCGCAATGCGCAATCCACCAAGAAGGAAATTGTCACGGAACTCGCTACAAATACACAGCTGGATTTTGTGTTCCTGCGTGGACACCCCGGTTCTTTTGAGGGGGCAAGTGATTTTACTGGACGCGGTGTTTTGGTTATTACAATATTACAATAGCCTTGTGACTACGGAAGACATGTGCGTAAGTTGGACCATTGCTAGTGAGTGTATTTGGGAGGTACTTACAATAGCAGAGATTGGCGCTGTTTTTTATGTGAATACAATAATAACAATATTGTAACAATAGCATCAGCAGTATGAACATGGCGTCATCTCTTGTTGGCCTCGTCACCCTGTCGTAACCAATCCCTGCTCGTGCTCCTGTGCTGCTGTCACATCTATCGTGACCAGGTTATCGGCGTTTTCAGCATGAAGCCGTTGCTCGCTCGGGAAGGGCTGCTCGTGCCTTGTGTGGTGTGCACCTTGCTCTACGTCGCCGCCTCGGTGGTAAGTCACACCCATCGCCCATCACCCATCACCCATCACCCATCACTCACCACTCATCCACTTTAGTGATCATCCATCAGCATCAGTCTGCGTGTATGCTGAGATAGATGCGATCGTTGTTTTGGGCCTTTCACACAGAGGCAAGAAGACCGACGCTCCAAAACAACAGCAGCAGGCACAGCAGCGGGAACGAACGTAGCTACAGTACCTACCGAAAGACCCGCGAGGACTCCGAGCTTTGAATTGAACTGTTCAACACTGTAGTAGTATCACCCGCGGTGACACCCACGGAGAAGGCACGGCTTATCTATCGGCGAAGAAGCCTCGCACAAATGGAGCAGCACAGGGTAGGTTTGGCCGAATGCTTTTTGTAGCCTGAGTTGATCTTAGTATGGAAATTTCGGAGAATCTTATCTTACTGCTTTTCTCGGGATATCGCTGACTGTAACCCCCAACTTGCAATTGGGCGAAGAGGCCATGGGGTGGCGCTTGTATGCAGTGTGCGGAGGCACCGAAAGGAGCTACGATTGTAGAGCAGACTCTTGTTGGTGCCATATGACACGATGAGACGCCACCGGAAAAAAAAGTTGATGTTCGGGGGGGGGGGGGGGGTCGCTGCGGTCCTCGGGCGTCATCAGATCGATCGCAAACCCTTGAGGGAAAAGTTGTGGACCCTTTTTTCAAAGGAATCGATGCTTGCTTATATGGTGTAGGTTTGTGCTTTTAACAAGCACGATGACCACTAAATAGACCACTAGTCAGCGCTGACTAGTCGTCTAGTGGTCATCGTGCTTGTCAAAAAAAGTTAATGCCCGAGTCCGTCAAGCTTTCTTTCAAGCCACGAACACGCCCCCCGAGGTTTGATCAGCTCTGTCTTGCCCGGAGACTTCCTTCGGTACAAGAGGTTCATCGGCTCACTTTGCCAAGCCTCGTCAGACGTTTCACTCCCATGTATATATCGGGCGCAACTAAAATTCTCGAAGGATAAACTGTTCAAGGGGAGATTCGAACCCCGGACATGAGCTTTTGTTCAGAAACAAGATGACCACAGACTACTAGTCTGCATACCGTAAGGTTGCGAGTCAGCGCACAGGGTTGCGATCGATTTTTAAAGCGTAATTTCCCCACAACCAGGAGGGTGCGAGCGCCAACTGATACTTCTCAGGAAAGCTCTCGATGAGATATTTCCAAAACCGCCCTCTTCGACAGCAGCAATGGTAAGTAACCTCCTGGTTGTGGAGAAATTTCGCTTTGAAAATCGTTCGCACCCCTGTGCGCTGACTCGCAACCTTACGGTACCTCACAATCACTCACTCACACCTTGGCTCGTGTTGTATTTGTACCTGCCTTCGTTTTGGTAGACCGGAACGATGGTCCCAACTCTATATTTCAATGTCTCACCATATTTACGTATACCATGCATAGCACCAACAGAGCTACTTCGGCGCCTCAACATGACAAGATGTCAAGTCACTTAAGCGTCTCTTATATGGTATACCATGCATAGCACCAACAGAGCTACTTCGGCGCCTCAACATGACAAGATGTCAAGTCACTTGAGCGTCTCTTCAGAAACTGGAAAGCCTGGTACAACAGCAGTAATACTGTGCTGCTAGGACGGGGTACATTTTTTGTTTCATGCAGGCATCGGCAGCAAACCCATAACGGTGATGGAGCAATAATCTGGAAGGCTGACGAAGGAGGAAGTGACTTCGGGATCGATCGTGTGTCTCACCTTACACCACCTATGTTCCTTCTTTGCTTTGTGTTGGATTTTGTTGTGTCAGTTTCTGGCACTACCGGAGGGCGACGTGGGCGAGCCAGCCGCTTCTTCTTTTCCATACGGGAGGTAGGTCAGGCCGCAATGCACGCGTTCCGTAGACTAGCGCCGATGCCACGGGATGTATACATTGATCGTTGAAAATATTCAGAACATCAGCCGGGACATGTCCTTTCCCACAAAAAGGCGGTCCAGACCGCACGCGACGTGCTCCTCGTACAAATTGAGGAAGATGGCGTATCAACGAGAGTAACAAGTAGAGCAGATAAGATACTGTCTGTGTGCACGCCCCGGCACCTCTTTGACGACGCCACACGCACAAACCATGTGGGACGTTGAACGGTCAACATATGCCTGACAAAAGAGGCACTCATTACAAGGCAAGGAAATTCGGAAATCGGGGTACTGTTGTACCTGGGGGTACGTGACTTCCACAGCGACGCCTCCAGAAACCGAAACCGTCAAGAGCTATGTACGCAACGCTACATCACGAATAATATTTTTAGTGACGCGCCAAGCTAAATGCATGCAGAAACCGTCCGGTGGGTGCCTCACCACCCTGCCTGGGTTAGGTATCAGATACACTTGCTGCCCACCGCTTTATTATTTACAAAATATTGTTGTCTGTGGTGACCCTGAGTAAGATGTGCGTACGATGGCAGGCCGGTTCGATCTCTCTCTCTTCTCCCTCCTCTTTCGCCACCTCGCACTATATCACCAAGTACTTCAACAAACTGACTGACGTACTTGCTGCACAGGTGCTTGACTCGCACACGCCTTGGAGTGATGGCGGCTCTCTCGCTCGGAGGCATGCTGCTGCTGCTGGGGTTGGAGGCAGCCGTGCCGCCTCCGGCGGCGCTGCCGTACCTGCACCCCACCTTAAACGCCATGTACTCGTGTGCAAACCTCACGGCGGCCTACGGGATCGGCGTGTGGTGGCAGTGGCGAGAGGGGACGCGTGGCGGCGGGAGCGGGGTGGGCGAACGGCAAGACCGACTTATGTCGCACGAAACGGGCACAAAGAAGGATCGATAGCAACATGATGCAAACGACGGACACGCTGGTGCTCGGTGTTCTGAGATCTCTTCGATTCTTGTGGCTCGCTCCGGGCAATCGACACTTGGCACGGCAGTAAGCACGTGGGCACGCTTACATCGATGCGCGAGACGTGGGACCCTTTCCAACACGCATCCTGCTGCTTGCGGAGTTGTGCGACTTTGTTTCGTTTAGACTGCTAGAAGAGCTCCGAAACCTTGCGCAGTACGATATGGTGGTGTGTAAATAGACATGCATAGCATCTAGGATTTTTTTTCATGGAAGTAAGAGGGTTATAGGACACTCAAAGGGGGGAAACGGGGAAACGTACCGAGCGCTTTGTCTGCACTACCTTTCTTGTAGTTGGGCATTTGGTGTAGACGTGTAGACGGAAGTTACGTCCCGGGTGTGCCTGTCGCACATAGAATTAGACTCTTCTCGGTCCTGTCGAGGATATTTCGGAACTTGAACGACGTCTACATAGAATAACATACGCTACGGGCGAAGCGAGGAGAGGTACTCACCCACAGACCGCACAAAGAAAAAATAATATGACTGATGTGTTGAAGTCTGAAGTCTTGGGAGTGAGGTTCGTCTTCCGCAAATCACGAAACGGTCCGGGTCACCCATCCCGTCAGCGAGCTAAACCGGAGATAGGCGCCCCGCCAACCCGTCCCTGGCCATCAAAAAGTGCATGTATGCTAGGCGTGATCCACCATGTATGTGTGCTGCTGTGGGGGACACGGACGGTGTAAAAAGGTGTTTTGTTATTTTATCGTTCAACCTTTTCCGATGTACAGCGCATGCGATAGCTTAAGTTAGGCCAAAAAGCCTCGGTGCGTGTATCTGCGTAGAGCATCAGGCGTGTTGACACTATTCTTGACGCTGGGTATAATTAAAAAAATGCAGTTGTACCCGGAACTAGATGGTGCATTTCGCAGACACCATGACGGTACCGACGCATGTTACAGGCCATGAAAGACATTACGGCCAAAAACAATTTTCGACTCTGTACATGGATGCATCATGTACAGCAGTGGACATAGCAGTATTGAATACCTAGAGTCCGAACTGTACAACTTGGACCCGCAGGATACAGGATACAGATATCCTCAAAGGCCCTGGCCGGTGCGTCCAACATACAGCCGTGAGGACAGGGAGACTGGCACTCAAATGGATGGAATGGAACGAAAGATGCTCCTTACATACGTTCAGAGTGCATAGAAATCACTCCGCCAGAGAGATAAGAGCAGTCGATTGCGTGATGCAAACGAAACGTACAAGCAATTTTCCAATTTTACGGCAGTACACAACTGGGTAGCGACTCCGAACTGGCTGGGGCTTTTTCTTCAGTGGTTTGGGTGGTGTTAAGTAAACACCAGGTTGATTTTGCTGGTTGTAGGAGCCGAAGCGAGGCACCCTACCGACAGACGTGGCCCCTGAAGAACAGAGCGCACCTCGCTTGCTGATTAGGACGAGGTGAACTTGGTGACGGCCTTGGTGCCCTCGGAAACGGCGTGCTTGGCGAGCTCTCCGGGAAGCATGAGGCGCACGGCGGTCTGGACCTCGCGGGATGATAGGGTCGCCTTCTTGTTGTAGCGGGTGAGCTTGCCGGACTCGCCGGCCACGCGCTCGAACACGTCGTTGATGAACGAGTTCATGATGGACATGCCGCGCTTGGAGATACCTGTGTCGGGGTGGACCTGCTTAAGCACCTTGTAGATGTACGACGAGTACGACTCGGTCCTCTTGTTGGTCCTCTTCTTGTCGCCGGCCTTCTTGGGCGCCTTGGCGGACTTCTTGGAGGGGGTCTTGGCCATCTTTATGCTGAGTGGTGTTGGGTGAGAAGGGTAGAGAGAGAGTTGTGGCAGAGAGCGGGAGAGCCGAGAGAGATCGCTCTCTCTAGAAGATAGCACGCTCGGGAGGCGTTATCGGCGTTGTTCCTTTTCGTCCACCGCTATTGTCTTCGCCAATCATTGACCTAGACTCAGAATGTGAAGACAACAACAACAACAACAACAAGACTTGCACCAATCACAGAGCAGAACGGCGCGGCCTGATAGTATTTTTGAAAATGGAGCTCCGCCGCACGAAGGATTCTGCCGTTGCCCGTTGCCTCTTGCCTGTCGAGACTATCCCCGCCCCACCTCCCACAACTCAAAACATCCCCCCTCTGTCTGTGTACTTCATCACCAACTCAACAACAACCATGTCCGGAAAGGGAAAGGGAGGCCGCGGAAAGAAGTCGACCACCAGGTCGGCCAAGGCTGGACTGCAGTTCCCTGTGGGCCGCGTTGGCCGGTTCCTCAAGAAGGGCAAGTACGCGTCCCGCGTGGGAGCTGGAGCTCCGGTGTACCTGGCCGCCGTGCTGGAGTACCTGACCGCCGAGGTGCTTGAGCTGGCCGGCAACGCCGCCCGCGACAACAAGAAGGCCCGCATCATCCCCCGCCACATCCAGCTGGCCGTCCGCAACGACGAGGAGCTGAACAAGCTTCTCGGAGAGGTGACGATCGCGTCCGGCGGTGTGCTGCCCAACATCCACGCCGTGCTCCTCCCCAAGAAGACCGTGAAGAAGTAAACGTCTCCTGCCTGCTGAGCTTCATCCTGCATCTTCAACGTTGTCCGCTTAGTTGTTTCAACGAGCGTCACAGCAAAATCAACCTGGTGTTTATTCAACACCACCCACCAAACAAACGAAAATTGGCGCTACTGCTTGCTGCTGTACACACATGTTGTACTACATGTATGACAAGAGTGTCGAAGTGTAGTCTTCGAACGTCCAACGACGACATTCATTGAAGGCAACGCAGAGGACTCGGAAGAGGTCGCTGCCTCTGCTTGGTGGATGACAAACTTTCTGTGAGCGAGGGAGGGAGGTACGTTGTGTAGATGTCTTGCCTCTTCGCGCGTTGCAACGAAACTAAATACCACATTCTTTCCCTTTCAAACACAACGTGAAGTTGTAGGGTGCTTTACAATCCGAGAGGTAGGCAAATCTGGGTCCAATGCTTTAAACCGTACCCAATGGTGCAGTCTACATTTTAGATCCTGATCATAGAGCAGCAGCTTAAAATATTAATGTTACCAGCAAGCTGTCTTCGATGCCACAGTTTAGTTAAGGATACTGGGGCTCGTAAGAGACGAATCGATGCAAAAGGGTCCAGAATATTACGTTGTTCTGCGTACACAGCAGTTCTCAACCAGCTGAATCTCCGACATCACAGCAGTGTGATGTCATGAAGGGCTCAGCAGCATATCTGAGCGTGGCATGAGCTCACCGTCTATGTGGCACTGCTGTGCTGCTGTTGAAGCGTTGAATTTTTGAATTTTTGAATTTTTCCTTGCGGGACTACGTAAGCCGAAAGGTGTAGCGGTAGAATCGGTTCGTTACCTTCACCATGTTGGACTGCACCGATTTCCTGCCGAAAACGCCACCCCCTCCGCTCGGAAGTTGCTGGAGTCCCCTGTTGCAACCGTAGGCTCATTGCTACCCCGGGGGGCGTCGCTAACGATCGGCACATCGGCACCTCAACTTGATCTGCCTCGATGTTTTACCAGAGTTTGTAAGGTTGTCGCAATCCGAAGTTTACGTTACACATCCTGAGTTCTGAGAAACAGGTTTGTCTGGGGGCGACAGCAGAATCGTTTTTCCATGCCAGCTGCGTCGGGCCGCAACTCCTCCCGTCAAAGCAAACCTCACATCAAACGTGTCCTCTCCAGATTCATCGCGCCCAGCGGGTGTTGTGAGGTGGGTTCTTGTGGCGACGAAGGCGGTGACCTTAAATAACTGCTGCTGCTGAAGCGCTTCTCCGAACTTACTTGTGGTTTTTTGTTGTCCTTCGATTGTACCTGTGTGCAGTGTGCAGTGGGCACACCGTACTTGGATGTTTTTTGCCTGCATTGATTTCGCACGCGTGAACATCGACACACGTTTTCACCACAGCTTTTACCCCTCGTCGACCTGCCAGTACACGCAAAGCATGTGCCACCCCGCTGTTTGCTTTGCACATGTGATGCTGGTATCGGGGGTCCTGGTTTTACTTCCGTGTGTGGCTCTTTCCTCCCATCGACTGGTGTTGTGTTTCGGAGTTGTAGATTCTGTGTGCCATGTAGCGTAGCACGACAGATTTACCAGCTCCGCTTCCCTGCCCTCTTGCCCGTTCGTGTCTCTCACATCTGTGGAGACCCAAGAAACGAGGTCTGCAATATGTCAACACGTTAACCCGGCAGAAAATAAACGCCGATTGGAGTAGTGGATATGCTAGCTGGGGGCACTCCAGAGGTTGTGTATGTATTATTATCGGCGAATGGAAGGCTGTTGTTCGTCATCGCTCGAGACTGGCAACACACGGCAATCACCGACCGACTCCTGGCACTCCGTAGGTCCAAGCTCAGCCTTTTTGCATACAGAGCAGAGTAGGAAAGCGTTGGAGATGATCCGGAGTTTCCCCCCTGTTCTTGCGGTATGCCGAATCTCATCCCAGCGATCCACGCTACTACGTCGGAGGATGCTGACGGGCGCGATGATCACCGAGAACGACGCAAGAATGTACGTCGGCGTCCAGAACGTATGGAAGGGCGCGTGAGCGAAGAGTCATGCAAGCGTCTTTGCTATTATTAGTACCAGATAGTCCCGGTTGCAGTACTATTTCGATGGGAAAAGTAGTAAGGTGCAAGCGATAGGTGCCTCAGAGCTGTTTCTCGCTTACATAGTGTTGAGGCAACAGCACTGTCACTGCAGTTGCTGTACAGCTATTCCTTCAGCTGTGGCTACAAAGTAGCTGGCATGTGATGCGAGGTTAGGTAGGCAAACACACAGAGTGATATTATTATCCACACAGACGCCCAAGCTGTCTTCACCTGACGGTTACAGACTTGGCAACGCCTTCACAATACCGCATAAACCCATGCAGTAGAATAGAGTCGTTCTTGTACCGCACTTACTCCAACATGTCCTCTCAAGAACTACGTCATTCTAGTACCAATGCATCAGATCCAATTCTCTCTCAATGTCCTCTCGAAAACAATATCCATGTCCTCTCGAAACAATGCTATCTTAAGAACTTCTGACTCAATATCAATTGTTTTGCCTTTCTCAGCTGCGTTGCATCAGCAGCGATTTATTTTCCTTCGACACAAATCTCCCGAATTTTCTTCTAACATATACACACACACACACCATCCAACCCTCAAGACATAAAGTCTGATTACGAAGAGGGGAGGTGATCAAACTCCTAACAGCATGCCACGGGCGCGGAGAAACTCCGACGGGTTTAGCCCTTTCGTAAAAATGTCCGCTTTCTGAAGCGACGTCGATATTTGCTTCACGTCTACGACTCCATCAGCTACCAGCGACCTTACGTGGTGAAACTTTACGTCAATGTGCTTCGTCCTTGGGGTGATACGGAAGCTGCGAGTTGATTTTAGAGCTCCCGAGTTGTCCTCCCACACCACGGTTGCTTCTTCCTGAGTCTGATTTATGGTGTCCAGCAGGTGGCGGAAGTACTTGATGATGTTGCACCCCTTCGACAAAGCCACGAACTCTGCTTCAACGGAAGAGGTCGCCACCACCGTCTGCTTGGATGATGTCCATTCCACCGGTCCACCAGCGAAGTACAACAAGACTCCCGTGGTGGAGTAGCCCTTGTCTAGGTCGCCTGCAAAATCTGAGTCGACAAACGCCGTAATGACGTTTCCATCTCCGGCGTCCTCGCCGTAGCGTACACCGATTGATATCGTACCTTTCAGGTACCTGAGTACGCGTTTGAGTTTCTGCATCGCCCTCGGACCTGGTTTCGCCATACTCCGCGTCAGAACCATCACGGAGTGTGTAATGTCGGGCCTTGTGCACCTGCTGAGATATAGAAGCGAGCCTGTGGCGGAGCGGAAATATGTGGTATCCTCCGCTGACAGCACCTCGTCCTCCAAGACGGACACCGGTCCAGCCTCAGACGGAGATGTCGTCGGACGCGCGTCGGCCATGCCGAACTTGTCCAACACGGCGTTGGTATACGCTTCCTGTTCCAAAAGAATTGTCCCTGCGGCTCTGTCTCGGTTGATTCCCATACCGAGTAGGAATCTGGCTCCTCCCAGGTCCACCGTTTCGAAACGCTCATTCAGCTGATCGACTATGCTCAGTACTTTGTTCTCACCCTCCCCGGTCAGCAGAATGTCATCCACATAAACGAGAAGGAGCACATCTCCGTCGTCCAGGATGTACAAGCACGGCTCAGCGGTGCTCTCAACAAATCCGATCTTCAGGAGAAAGTCGTGCAGAGTGCCCCACCAGCCTTTTGGGGAAGAACGCAACCCGTAAAGCCATGCTCTGAGCTTCCAGACTTGCCTGGCTCTCCCGCTGTCGCACGAGAATCCTTCCGGGGGAATGACGTACACTGGTTTCGATCTCGGTTCCATCCTCGCGTGGAGGAACGCCGTCCTGATGTCGGCTTGGCGAAGAACAAGTCCATTCTTGGCTGCATGCGCAACTATCAGATGGACGGCTTGGAGAGACGCTACCGGTGCAGCATTGTCGGTTCCGGTCTCAGCTTCGTAAAATCCTTGCACTACGATTCTCGATTTCTGTCGAACAGCGATGCCGGCCTCGTTGTACTTCCATTTGTAGATGTATTTTGACGGGATGATTTGAGCATCGCACGGGGGGTCGACCCACTCATAAACGTCGTGGTCTAGCAAGGAGCGATTCTCCTCCTCCATGCTTTTCATCCATCCAACAGCATCTGGTCCGTTGACCGCTGCGCGGTAGTTCGGTGGATCGGCGGGCATGTATCCTAGTTGGCCAGGTATCCCTTGACCAAGGTTCCCAATCTCACCTCCGATCACCAGCGCGTATTCCGTTTCGAACACCTGCTCCGTCGTAAACAGGTTCAGACGGTCCCGCGGCCTTGTCGTACGACCGCTTTTGCGCACCGCGGGCGGTTCTTCGTCCGGTCCGTCGTTCGTTTCTGCCAGTTCTGGTTCCTCGTCTTTTGTCTCGGCCCCAGTAGTGATGATGCCGGGCTGGAAAATCTGGCCTTGTTCGGGAAATGGGTCAGACCCGTGCATGGGGCGAGCGACGTCGCGGGCATCTACCTCGCGGAATGACACTTCAGCAGAGTTTGTAATTTTGAGTGGTTCCGCCGGGTCCCATAGCCGCCACGTCTTGCTGGTTGTATTGTATCCCACCATGTAATACTTCTTGGCCCTGGCAGAAAACTTATCGTTTCGCGAGCGAGCTTCTACGTGTTTAAACGCTACAGACCCCCACTCATGCATGTGCTTCAAGCTGCCGAGTGGTTTGTCCTCCCAAACCTCAAGTGGTGCTTTGCCGTCCAGGACGTCAGTAGGTGTGCGGTTCTTGATGTAAATGGCGGCCTTCGCGGCTTCCGCCCACAGTTGACGCGGTAGGTGCGGAGCTCCAAGCATGAGACTACGTGCTGCACCGATGACGGTCCCGAAACCGCGTTCGGCGACAGCATTCCCTTGAGGGACGTACGGGGGGCTTGTCTCCACAGCGATCCCGAAGGACCGACACATTGCTAAGAACCTACCCTTGAAGTCGGCTGCGCCATCGCAATGGATTTTCCCGATGCAGATGCCCTCGGGATCGGCGACTTCTTTAATCAGTGTTTCGAGCGCGTCAGTCACTTCATCCTTTGTCTTCAGGGGAATGCCCCACCGCATGCGAGATTTATCGTCGGTGAACATTTCGATATGCTGACATCCGCTATACGATGGCACACCATGTTTCCCCCACAGGTCGAGATGCATAAGCATCATTCGCGTCAGTGAACGGGCGCGGCCAACCGGGGGGTGACTCGCCTTCTTGCTTTTAGATACATCGCACACTTCGCAGTCACCTGGTTGAATGTTGGTGATGAACTTGATGCCGGTGCCTTCCTTATCCGAGAGCTGCTTCAGGGCGCGCGCAATGCAATGTCCCATCCTCCGGTGCCAGACACCGGCATCGGTATCGGCACGGAAAACCAGCGGAGAACTAGGCAGGTCGAGACTCAGGTCGTCCAGGATGAGATTCACGACGTACATTCGAGGCACCTCTGCTGTTGATATGGGGAAAGACAGGTTCCGGCTTCGCAGGGCCGGAGGTGCCGAAAGTAGATCCGTCTTCACCCCTTTCTCATCCAACGCTCCGACAGAAAATATGTTTGCTCCAAGGTCCCGCACAAGCAGAACCTCCAATTCTATCGGGACGGGTTGACCTTTGTCATTCTTGAGTTTGAACTTCAGCGTACCTTTCTTGGTGGCGCTGGATGTGCCGCACGAACCCTTGATGCGGACGTCGCAGTCAACCAAGTCGACTACATGTTGTGAGACTGGGCTCTCGCCGCTTACCATGTGTCCCGAAGCGGCGGTGTCGATGAACACCCTCGTATTCTCGGCGGGCGCTGTCTTGTCCACTGCACGAAAAACGTTGGTGTACGCGACCAGCTCCTCATGCTGTATCGCGGCAGGCGGGTCCTTTTCCTGCTCGTAGGAGGCAGCAGGCTCCTCGGTTTCCTCTGCTGTGGCAGGCGCAATCGGCACCTGCAATGGGACAGCACGTTCCAACAATGGTAGCGAAGCTGTGGCAGGCGCAGCCAACACCTGCCCTACATTGACATCGGACGCCTCCTCAGGGGTCGATGCAGCAGGCGCAAACGGCACCTGCTCTGGATCGCCTATGGCGATGTCGAACGATTCCAGCGTGAGGTCGACCTCGCGCGCGTGCGTGAGCCACGCCTGTGTCGTGGCTTCCGCGGTCGTGTTGACCTGCTGCTGCTGCTGCGGTTGCTGTTGTTCACGGTTCGAAAACCGCGTGGCATTGGAGGCGCGAAGCGGGCAGTTCGTCCAGGTGTGTTCCGTAGAATTGTGACAGTAACTGCATAAGCCGTCCCTGTCGTACTCGCGTCTTTGCTGTGAGTGGTTTGGCCGTCCAGAGGACCGGTTGTCGGAAGACGCACCACCAGCTCCGTTGCCAGAAGTTGCGCCGCCATGGTTCTGGTCGTTGCTGTTGTTCCCCCTCGACGACCCGTTGTTACGGTTCGACGAGTTGTTCCAGCTGCCACGTCCGCGTCCACCGCGCTGCGCGCGTCCACGACCATGATGACCGCCGCCCTTACGGAAAGAACGCGCTCCGCCGTGTGTGACGGTATTCAGCGCACGGCTGCTGCTTCCGGACGTGTTCTTCGAGGCAACTTTACCACGAATGTGCATCGCGTGGAACGAAGTGGCTCGGTCGGCGACCTCCTCGAAGGACAAGACGCTCCCAGCAGCCTGGCCGCACAGCAGTCCTGTCTTGAACTCTTTGTAGTGGTCGTCCGGCAGTGCTTTCAGGAAAGCGAACGTCTTTCGGTGGTCAGCCACCGTGTCGTTATACACGGCTAGCTCCGTGCAGATCCGGCGCATGTCTTGAATAACTTTGGCCGGATCAAAGTCGTGGTCCGCAGTAACTGCCAAAGATATGAACTTCTCGTGCAGCTCCTGCGTACGGTATACCCCAGCGGCCTGGTACTTTCGTT